AGTCCTGTGAGAAAAGTTTATAGCTACAAATGCCCACACCAGAAAAACAGAACAAGCTCAAACAAATGCCATCTCAAGGGCCTAGAAAAATAAGAATAATCCAAATCCAGAGCTTGTATAACAAAAGAAATTATAAAGAACAGAAGAGAAATCTATGAAATGGAAACTAAAAATCCAATACTGTATAAAGAAGCATGAACTGAAGAGCTAGTTTCTTAAAAGAAAGCATAATATAGACAATCTCTTTGCCAATATTACAAAAAGAAAGAAAGACACTTAGAAATGAGAAAGGGTAAATCACAATAGACACTGCCAAAATCTAGAAAATGATTAGCAACTTCACAAAGGGATATGCCAAAAACATTGAAGAACTCAAAAGAAATGGAGATTGCTAGATACATATGAATTACCAAAACTGAACCAAGAAGATTTAAAAATATTGAACAATCCAGTAATAGACAATAAAATTGAAGCAGCAATAAAAACTACCAACCAAGAAAAGTCTAGGACCTGATGGATTTATACCCAAATTCTACAAGAACTTCACAGAAGATTAAATATCAGTACTCCTCAAACTCTTTATTGAACTGAGGGGAAAGGAGTACTTCCAAAGACCTTGGAAGCTAACATTATCCTGATCCCTAAAGCACATAAGGTCCAACCAAAAAAAAGAGAACTACAGGCCAATCTTGCTAATGAAGATAGATGCAAAATGCTTAACAAGATATTGGCAAACAGAATGCAAAATATCATCAAAAAGATCATAAAACATGATAAAGTAGGCTTCATACCTGGGATGCAAAGATGGCTCAACATACACAAATCAATAAAATGTCATTTATCACATAAACAAACAGAAGAAAAAAGCACATAATCATCTCAGAGGCAGAAAAAGCTTTTGACAAGATCCAATATCCATACATGATAAAAACCCTGAAGAAAATAGGCACCGAAGGACCATCTCTCAATCTGATTAGAGTCATTTATTTGTGACCAAGCTACTGCCACCATCATATTACATAGAAAAAAGCTGAAAGCTTTCCCTCTAAAATTAGGAACAAGACAAGGATATCTGTTCACACCATGCCTATTCATTACAGTCCTCAAAACACTAGCCAAGGAAATCAGGCAAGAGACAGAAATGAAAGGAACAGGTATAGGAAAGGATGAAATTAAAGTCTCATTATTTCCAGATGACATGATCCTTTACTCCTAAGAACCAAAAACCTCCAAGACTTCTAGAATTAATAACCAAATTCAACCATGTAGCAATATACAAAATAAACACAGAAAACTCAAAAGCATTCCGCACACTAATAATGAATTCACTGAAGAAGAAATTAGGAAAATAATATCACTGACAACATTGAGAAAAATTAAGTATTTAGGAATTAACCTAAGCACGGAAATAAAAGATCTCTACAGTGAAAAATCACATCACTCTGTAAATTGAGGATATTAGAAAATAGAAAGATATCCCTTGAATCTGTTTTTTTGTTGTTGTTATTTTTTTCATTTTTTTAATTTTTTTTTTTTTTTCCAGTACCAGGAATCAAGCTCATGACCTTGCGCTTGCCAGGCAGGCGCTGTGCCGCTGAGCTAAATCCCCAGCCCCCTCCCTTGAATCTGGATAGAAAGAATCAATATAATCTATACTGATACACAGATGTAATGGACTCTCAATAAAATACCATGGCATTTCTCCAAGATCTAAAGAAAACAATCCTAAAATTCATATGGAACAAGAAGAGATCCACAATAACAAAAGTAATTTTAGGTAACAAAAGGAAAGCCAGTGGCATCACAAGCTCAGACTTCAAGTTATATTATAAAGCTACAGTGACTGATACAGCATAACACTGGCTTAAACACCAGCCTGTCAATCAATGGGACAGAATAGAAAGAGCAGAAACAAAACAAGGCACATACTGCTATTTGATCATTCACAAAAGGAACAAAAACACGCACAGGAGGAAAGAGCCTCTTTAATAAATGGTGCTGGGAAAATTGGCTATCTACATATAGAAGATTGATTCTAGACCCATATATCTCACCACACACTAAACTAAAATCAGAATAGGTCAGTGATATAAATGTTAAAATAAAAACGATCTGTTGAAAGGATGAAATAGGTACAAGTCTTGAAGACACAGGCAAAGGCAAGGACTTTTTTTTTAACAATACCAGTGGCACAAGAAATAATACTGAAAATCCACACAGGATCATATCAAATGAAAAGCTTTTACACAGCAAACCAACGGAACGAAGAAACAACCTACAGAATGGGGAGAAAAAAAAAAACAACATCTGCCAGTTATTCCTCAGACAAAAGGTTAACATCTAGAATATATAAAGAACTCAAAAAAAGACTGCCCAAAATAAAAGACCCAATCAAAAAACGGGCAATTGAAAGGAATAAACACTTCTCAAAACAAATACAAATGGCCAGTAAACACATGAAAAAATGTGCAACATTACTGGCCATTAGAGAGATGTAAATTAAAACTACTTTAACATACCATCTGGCTGGGCATGGTAGTGCAGACCTATAATCCCAGGAGCTTGAGGCAGAAGTACTGTCAGAAGTTTGAGGCTAGCTTGGTCTACAAAGTGTGGGCCAAGTCCTCCTGAATTACACAGCTAGGCCCTGACTCAAAGAAACAAACCAAAAAGATGCTATCTTATCTAGAAAAAATGGCTATCATCAAAAAATCTAACAATAACAAATGCTGGCAAGGCTTGCGGAAAAAGGAATTCTTCCACACTGTTGGTGGAAATCTAAACTAGAACTATCATTATGGAAATCAGTGTGGAGAGGCCTAAAAAAATTAAAAATAGAAATTCCACTTGACCCTGCTATACTCTTTTTAGGTATCTTCCCAAGAACAGTTAAAATTATCAATTACAGGGATACATATACCCATGTGTATAGCAATACAATCTGTGATACCTAGATCTGGGAAACAGCATATATGTCCATCAAAACATGATCAGATAAGGAAAATGTGGTATTTCTACACAATGAAGTACTGTCAAAAATATAGATAAACAAGGCATTTGTAGGAAACAGATGCAACTTGAGAACATAATGTCAAGTGAAATAGGTCAGAAACACAAATATCTCATGGTTTTTTATATGAGAAACTCTATATATGTGGAGATACATATATATATATATAGAGAGAGAGAGAGAGAGCAAATTAGAAGATAGATAGGAGGTGGGGAGAAATTAAAATAATTTCTTGAATTACCTATTCCATTTTTTCAAAAATATTGTAATATATATGTTAACTGATTTGTTTTTTTTTTTTTTTTTTTTTTTTTGTTTTTTTTTTTTTTGTTTTTTTTTCCGGTACCGGGAACCGAACTCACGACCTTGCGCTTGCAAGGCAGGCGCTTTGCCGCTGAGCTAAATCCCCAGCCCCATATGTTAACTGATTTATGCAGCTAGTTTCTCTTAGTTGATTAGAAAGAAACTTTAGCGCTATTTTCTATTTTTTTGGAGAGAATCTTTTTTATCTGTCTTGTACAATGACTAACAGCTTTGAAGATAATGAGAAAGTATATAAACTACTGTTATTCTTATTTTATTATGAAATTTTGTTTCACTTTTCATAAAATAAAAATAATCAATTAAAAAAAAAGAAAACCTAGAAAGTCAAGTCAGGGGCAGGCAAGCTGTTCTGTAAGAGCAAAGTGCAATTGAAACGGTGTGGGAAATTACACCACACTGCTGCTGGGCTTCCTGTGCAGCTCTCACGGTGCGGTTTAGCTCTACCACTAGAACCTGTGCTATTTAGGAACCTTGGCTTCTTCCCTACTATACTGAAAACCATGAACAGAAGTAACCTATCTACTGGCACTGGGAGGTATGTAACAGCTGCTGATTTAAATACAGTTTAGAATACAGCCGCTGTGCCCAGGAATGGCAGTGCATGCCTGCAGTACCAGCACTGGGGAAGCTGAAGCAGGGGGATCACCAGGAGTTTGAGCCTGGACTACTACATAGCGACACTCTGTTAAAAAAAAAAAGAATACAGCTACAGTGATGAAAGTCTACAACCCTGATAAAATATGTACTCCCACCAAGCCTAAAGCAGACACACCACTATCACCAGACACAGAGTATGGCATTCAAAGAAGTAGCAATTTCGTCTATCCAGCCTCCTAAAAGACTATTAACAGAATGTCTTTGAAAACAGCAGTCAGACTACCTTTTCCTCAAAGCGTTTTTTAATTGAGGATCTCTGTATAATTCTCCTAGTACCAACATATTTGTATACTTAAAACAGTGACATTAAAATAAACCTAAAGGTTTACAATTTAAGACAACTAAAACAGATGAGTGAATTCTATGCAATGAATTGTTACAAAATTTGTAAAGCTTGCACTGCCTACATAATTGTGATAATGAGAACAGACAAGGAAGAGTATTTTAAAATACAATTTTTTTAAATGAAGGGACACAGGGAACTCTATAACAGAGACTTAGGTATATTACAATGTATCTACCCCAAAGACATTCACTCCAAAATTCTGAACATTCTCCTGTCTACATCTAAAAATAGGGAATGAGTCGAGAATATAGTATTTCAGGAATAAATACAACAATAGCTAATGCTTTTTGCCACCTGGGATACAGAAATTCTGTTCTGAGTTAATAACAAGAACACTATGAAGATATCCTTTACTGTGTTCATTTCAGAAGAAAAACAAAACTGATGTTTGGGCTGATTTCAGGTAGTCAGCAGCAGAACCAGGACTTGACCCCGGACATTGCAGGGTCTACAGTCTGTATTCTTATCAAGGAAGAAGCAAGAACACGTCAGTCAACCGTGTACCCAGGAGCAGCCACATGGCATTTTACCGCCTGGATCAACCATCATGCTCTTAGTGTGGGAGAAAATTAAATCAGAAACAAAGGTGCATTCACACTGATATTTACGGGATTCACAAAACAACGTGCCTGGGAATAACTAGACAGAAAAAAGTATCCTTACACACTGAGGGTCCTCACAGTGGAGCTCTGCTCTACTGGCACAAAGAGTCTTAGAGTTCTGCAGTCCCCAAGATCCCTTTTCAAGCCTTCACAGCAAAGCATCACGTCTTCAGATTGACTCCTAGGAAAATCAAAAGAATATAGTAACCATCTAAATATCCAGAGCATGTTAAAAAATAACATATCCAATTCCACATCTAAAAGAACTACCAGCATACAGTCTGCAACTGTACTGGCTGAAGCTGCTATTCACCTTCTCTAAAACTCTTAAGATTTTTAAAGGTCCCTTTAGCATGTGGACAGATTATTTACTTACCTTAGTTCACATCACCGGTAACCCTATATTATAAATACTGTGCTTGCCTATTTTTGGCACCTCTTTATATTTTCTGTCTTAAGTCAAATTTTCCAAAACGCCCAGCAGTTCCTAAAAGCACTTCAGAGATTTACTTCCATCCACGGCCTCCAGGATTTCAGCAGTAACCTTCTTTCAACGTTTCTCTCCACTCTTCATAAGATAATGTATACAAGAGCATATGTATGTGTGTGTATTTACAGAGTAATAACTTGACATTTCTACTTAAATACATTAATACTCTATATTAACTTTAATAATCAAAAATTTTAAAGCAGCATTTCAGTAAGATGTCTAAAAGTATTTCAGAAGTGTTATAAAAAGACAGTCAAAATTGACAATGTTCTCTTTCCTTCTGAGACAACGCCTCACTGTGTAACCCAGGCTGACCTCCACCCTGCAGCAGTCCTCCTGCGTCAGGCTCCTGAGTTGTGGGGGTTATAGGTTTGCACCACCATGCCTGGTGACTATCAGTTTTTATATGTTCTTGGTAATATGTACCTTGAAACAAATTTTTGACTTCTTTGTCTAACTGTCCTACCTCGAAAAGTAGCATCTACCCAAAATTATGACTACTAGGTAAGTCAGTTAACATTTTTAAAATGTCCATTATAATAACATTTATTATTAATATTTATAGTTGCTGCTTAAGATAGAGAAAAACAGTACTTTATGCAGAAGAATAAATATTAGTCCCCACTGATAACACATTTCAAAAGTAAAACACTAATTTAATATATACATCTTGACATTTTTGTTACTACTGAACCAACATAACCAATTTCAGGTATCATTCAAAACAATCAGACATTTATAGTAGCACAGTGCCGTGCAAAGGTCACTTAAATATATTTCAAGGACAAAGAGAGAACAGAGGTAGGAATTATAAGGTCAGTGTGGTAAGCACTCGTAATATTACCTAATTTGACCAGAGAACCTGGGCCCTGCAGTGTAACGTGGAAGGAATCATAGATAGACAATCAATCTGCTTATTGCGCACATTCCAAGACTGTACCTAGGAAATTATATATAGTTGTCTGAATTTGGTAAAAACAGTCATACAAAACGTGTCCGCTGTGGATACAAAGCAACTCCTTCAATAATTAAATTCACATGGATTTAGAAATATTAAGGGTTCATCTTTTCTTCTAACTCTTGAACAAGTTTTAATCAAGACACAAACATTTTTACCAAGGTACTTATTAAAAGGGCTACAAATACATGTAATCATGGAAATATGTTATTCACATTTAACCTTGGCTGGTTATTATCTGAAGAATGATACGTATGAAGTATATCAGCTGATAGGAGTAATTTTATTGATATATTCAACAAAAGAGATAAAAGTCCTTCATAATAAGACATTGCTGTAAATACCACAGTAAAGCTAACAAGCATATTAATTGTATGTAAATTCATACTCAAATTTTCAGGAGAAAGAGAAGATAATCTACTGCCTTATGAGACAGAGTTTCTCCTTTTAATTTAGCAGCATTTCCCAATTGTGTTTGTGAATTTACAGTGCTCATTAGTGTTTAGGAAAAAATTCCTTGAATAAAATGTTCATTAATATCTCAATCACTAAGAATTAATAATACAGCCAAAATAACTGAAAACCTGTTGCGCTTTAAATCTCCTTTCTTTTCCACTTGATCCCAGAAAGCATGTTTGTTTTGGAAGCAACTGGCAAATAGTCCAAAAGGAGAGCTGAATGTGAGTGATTAATGACACAGGCAAAAATGCAAAGTCACATCAGCTGATGAGCGGCTGACCGAGGAAGAAGAATGTGGAGGACGTTGTTCAGAGCTGCTAAGAGTAACATTCCTTTTGCCATCCAGTGACAAATACGGGACAGCACGTCCTACTCTGAGATACCGAAGAGCAAATCCATTGTTTAAGTTTACTCAGGCACCAAAAGTAACCTTTCAATGTCACAGGAGGCAGAGCCTGTAAAGTCTGGTTACATGTAACCAGAGAGCCACTATTTACAGCTGCGGTATACAGCTGTTTGCATGGCTGCCTTCGTGAAATTCTACTGCACTTCTAAATAAAGGGAATAACCTAAAATTTCTAAAAAAGGGATGTTTACACAAGTAGAATCTAAGGAAATGAGTCATACCACCTTAGAATTAAAATGAAAAATCCTAAGTCCAAAATATGTTTGGTCTCAAAACTTTAACACAAACATTGAATGGACCAATCTTATTCACACATCTTTGTCACAGAGCTGTAAATTTTCTGCCTTTCTTCCAATGCAGGGGAGGTGAACCTGTGGCATACAGGCTGCAGGGGGCTGTTCGTATCACTGCAAGCTCTAAATGGTTGACCATCACTGCTCTACTGGAAGAAGTCACAGATGAAAGAAAGCCCATTGGTATTGAAAACAAATGTAACTTGTTCTGCATTTTACTAAAATTAATCATGAGAGCCAGGCGTGCTGCTACACACCTGTACTCCCGGCACTCAGGAGGCTGAGGCAGGAAGAGCACTGAGTTCAAGACCAGCCTGAACTACATTTTTATTTATTTTTAAAAAATTAACCATGAAAGGCCACAAAGCCCAAATAGGACAAAGAACTATCTTGATGAGCCAGTCTTGCTGAAATACCACCAGGCCTCTTTTCCACATCACTGTGATGGAGGCACACATAGCTGGAAAGGGAATTTGCAAGATGGTAAGTGGTGAGCGTGACACAGTAACTTCCCTTGTAACCAAATTTATATTTATCTTTTACTCAGTGAATCAAAGTGTACACCAGAGACTTTATCACAATTAATTTTAAATATGATTAAGGTAGACAAACACAATGTGGTATTTTTAAGAATGGGCCTGGAAGAACGCCAACAAGACAAAATGTAACAAACCACCAGCCAACCTGAAGAGCTCCGAAATCATTCCAGTCTGTATAGTGCCCACCCTTCCTGCAGCAGCTCCAGCCCACCCTGTGAGCAGAGCTGTGGACAGGTGGCACTTTTCTGATGGCGGAGTTTGGCCATCATCATTGCCTGGCCTGCTGTAGTTATTCCATCATTATCTTTGGGAAAAACTTTTTAAGTGTCTTTAATAAGTGTCCAAAGCATGGGTTGCTAAATAAATGTCAAAAACTTAACTCATTGTGAAATTTAGATCTAAGAAATGTGTTTCTTGTAGCATATATTCTCCAGTTCTGTAGTTCCAGGGCACAAGTGAAATAGAACGACAGACAGACAAAATTTCCTTCAATGTAATTATGACTGGCTAGAAGTATGTGAAGGTAAAATGGGCTGTTTCAATCCTGTCGAACACTCTTTGATAACATTAACATCCCCATGGTATAGAAGATAGAGTAAGAGGCTTGAAAAGCCAAGTTCTCAAAAGTACACCGCTTCAAGCATTGGAATCAATATTCTCACCTTGACCTTACTCACACTTTCCATAATACCAGTTAAAAAAAAATCTTTCATGTGAAAAAAAACAAATGTGTCCATTGGCCATAGGTGGATGGCTGCACCTATACAAAAACACTTCTGATTCTAAACTTTGATGACTTTTACTCTAAAATTTCCTTGATAAACTATCTCTTTATTTAACTAAATGCGCACCTTCTCTTTCATATGCTGTACTACTGTCAAACAAGTAAATCTACAGAGACAATTTTTTTTTTGGTTTTTCTCCGGTACCAGGAACCAAACTCACGACCTTGCACTTGCCAGGCAGGCACTTTTGCCGCTGAGCTAAATCCCCAGGCCCTACAGAGACAATTTTAATTTTCAAAATTTATTCTTCATTTATCACAGGCAAGCTAGTTAAACTGTTATTTTAAAATATCACAATGGAAATTAACATCATCAAGCAGAAATCTATCCTTATAAGCAAAAGATAATAATACATAAATCCTAAACCCCAGATACTAAATTAATACAGTACGTTGAAAAAGTAGAATGTTAGAAAATAGTCCAGGATATATGCACACATAAGCTATTAGGCTGGGTGTGGTGGCGCACACCTGTAATTCCAGCACTCTGGAGGCTGGGGCAGGTGGATCACTGTGAGTTCGAGGCCAGCCTTCACTATGAGACCTTGTCTCAAAACAAAAACAAAGCAAAACAAAGAAATTTAGAATTTTTAAGTAAAATACTATCAAGCATAACCATACAAACAAAGGTATAAATCCAGTTAATTTCATCTAACTCTTATACCACAGGAAGCAACGCAGTATACACCAGTCCGACACCCACTGAACTCGGCCAGCATCCCTCACACTTGGCTCAGACAGAGATGTGGATGAGGCCAGGTCACGGCAGCATTCGGGACTGAGACAGCAAACTATCTGTATTGTTTCTAAAACTTCCCCCCAACTTCTTACTAGTGTGTATCTGCACTACATAATAAATACACTGGTCGAGGGAGAACTGGCACACACAAATATTGGATCTTGACCCTCCTTACTTTCCCTGTCCCCGTCTTTTTGTCTCCTGGACCTTTCCTATCCTTTCAAAGAACCAACTTTTTAATTCATTGATCCTTTGTAGTGTTTTTTAGTCTCAATTTCACTAGGATTCCCTCTTCACTAAGAACTCCTTTCCCTCTGTTAGTTTCAGATTTAGGTTCTTTTTCTTTTCTAGGACTCTTGAGATATGCCATGATGTTATTTAATCGAGATGGCTGTATTCTTTTTAATATGTGCACTTATGGCTATAAACTTTGCTTTAAGAACTGCTTTCTAAAAGGTCTTGGTCTGTTGTGCTTCCACTGTCATTTGATTGTACAAACTTTTTTAATTTCCTTCCTGATTTCTTCTGTGATCTGCTTATTCAAAAATGCATGATTTAATCTCCACATGAATAAACTATCTTTAAACCAAGCTCCATTTACAAATTTGAAGCCATTTAAAGCCCATTCGCATGTCTTGTCTCTCTACTGCTCTCAAGTCCCAAATAAACTGTTAGCGCTATCTCTAATTCTCCTGTAGAGCTCTTCCTTACACAGCTGTGTGCTTTCCCTTACTTGGTTCACACATACTCTCCACTTTATCGCAGCTTTCCCGATGTTCTTCTCAGCATTTACCAATGTATCCTAAAAGTGCCTGACTTTTAAGCAAACACATTTCCTTCCATTTTTAAACAACCTAAACACAATACTGTGTCATCTGCACATTGTTTTTTCCTCCAAAGCCTGATTTATGAAAGTCCTCTTCTCCACACAGTCAGGTCTGGAACGAAAGTTCAGCCTGGTCCTACCTGCACTCCATGGCTTTTCTGCTATTACTTTTTCATCTTCATTCCAAGAAATCTTTCTTCCTTGAGGTTCATTTCATGAAATTTATCACCCTGAATATTGAGACTCTCCACCTTTTAGGCCAGTACTTGAAAGTCCATTTCTCTTCGATAGAAAAATCCTACCGCATTACTCATATTGGTAATCAACGCACCGGGACTGCAACCAGTAACCTACCCACCAACTTCATGACCTCAATCCCACTCTCACTTCAGTAACACGCTTTCCGCTGGGCCACAGCGCCCTTTCAGTGCCTCCACTACCGAAGTCTTAAACAATAACACTCTACATCACAGAACAGGTTCCTTCATGTGATCTGATTTCTTTTTCAATTTTCATAAGAATACCTTCGAAATTATCTCATCCCTTCACACACAGCTCTTCCAAGCTATTAGCCTTTCCCTAGCCTCCATTACTCCCTCTCAGCTGCAGCACTGATCTTCATTTAAATTCTAATTCTGCTACTGATTAGTGAAAATGTCTTCGGAAAATTTACTAACTGGATGCTCAGTATGTTTTCAAAATATGGAAATTGTATTTATACCTAATAGAAGTAATTGTAATAGAAGGAAATTGTATTTATACCTAAGAGTGTAAATGTGGTAACACACATAATGTACTAAGCACAATTCTTAATATACTGGATGGAAGAAATAAGGTCTTTGCTGTGAAAAACATGAACAATATGAACAAGAGCGTCTCCACTGTAAACTCTCATCTACCTTAGGTTGCCCTCCCCCACGCCTTACACCAGCTATAGGAAATAGGACTGACCACAAAAGATAACTTATCAACAGCCAAGGACTTTCAGTACCCCATGCCACACTCTCCCCTCCCTTAGCAACCCTGCCTAGCAACCCTTCAGCCCTCCCCAGCACCACTTAAACTAGCCAATTGGGATGGATTCTAAACCTTCAAACCAGCCAATGGGGTGAAGGTCAGCTGCTTCTCATGCCTTAGGAAATAAAAAGAGCCTGATGCTACATTTCCGGGTGCTTCCTACCTCATGCTGAAATGTGCTTGTGCCCTTCTGCAGAAGTAAAACAATCTTGCCTCGTCAAGATTTCTTGGTGTCACAGTGATTTATTATCTGCACCAACAGACTGAGTCTGGGGACGTATTCCCAACATGTATACATTTACTAAATATTAGGCTAGTTATGTTGTTTACTAGTAGAGCGCTTGCTTAGCATGCAGTAGGCCCCAGGTTCAGTCATTAGCACAAAAAAGGGGGAAAGAAAGAAAAGAATTAAATGTTAATATCAACTAAAATCAATCACCAACATCCAGGGTCCCTAGCTCCTATGTATTCTTCTTGCAAAAGGGAACCTGAATATTCCAAATTTGCAGTAGAATCTGCAATTATAATACTGAATAGAGCTGGAGAAGAATGGGTCACCTGTACACATTGATACTGCTTCACATTCATAGATTTCAGTTGTGGCAGGATCCCTAAAGCCTCTCCCTTGAGCTTCTCACATATTTCTGGATAGTTTCCTGTCCTTTTCCATACAGGTCTAACGTTTTCCCTCTCAGGCTTCTCAAACATCCTCTGTATCAGTCAGGTTTTACTGGAGAAACAGATATAACACAAGATGTACAAATTATAAGAAATTACAAGATTGGCTTACGACGGTCAGCCAGAGAGTTGTATGGGAAAGTGTGCAGAGGGTGTCTGCACACTGAAGACCGAAGGAATCAGTCCTGGGTCTGGAGTTCACTGCAGACTTCCATGCAAGTCCGTACCAGGAGGCCGATAAGTCTGCGACAGAAGGCTGAAGGATCCAATATGGAAGCCGAAGAGTCTGCACTAGAAGCCAGGAGACGAAGTCCAAGCTGAAGGTGAAGACTGGAGTTCTTCCAAAAGGAGTGGAAGTTTCTCTGTCCTTCCTCATTTCCCTTTTATATTATCTAGGTGATGATCCACCCTAGGGTGGCTCCTCTACACCCTAGGGTGTAGAATTGCTGGGCCAATTGCTGAGCCAAGTTTAGTTATGCTTCTAAACTTCTCAAGTTGACATAATCAATCAACCACTACATCCTCAGTCATACCTTGGAGTTAACCTGGCTTCCTTCTTATCACAGAAACAGCTGAAAGCCATCAGATCAGACATGACATCCCTCAGTGCCTTGGCTACATGCACACATTTCTGTATCCGTTGGTCATTTTGTTCTCCTTTCTTCTTATAGTGGAGTTGAGCTTCTTACTGGTCACCAAACATGCCCTCACTGGTAAGACACCACCCTCCTGTTCCCTCCTTCCCCCTCCCCTCACTCTTCACTGCTTTCTTTCCCTGAATTTTTTTTTTTCAGGTCCAAAGACTGAACCATAAGATACTCTATAACCCTACTACAATCCCAACCCTTGAAATTTTTTTATATTTTGAGACAGAGTCCCACTCACTTGCCCAGGCTGGCCTCGAATTGGCAATCCTCCAGCACTTGCCTCGCAACTAGATGGTACTACAGGGGTAACCACTGCACTCAGTATGATCATTTCCTTTTGACCTGTGATTTTTTTTTTTTCATCTGATCTAACCACATTTCACTTTAATGTCACAACTTCCCTTGTGTTACATACTCTGCCAACACTGAATACCAATATAGGAACTAATCTGTTTCCAACTCACTCCATGTTATCTCACATGTTTGTGTCTGTAGGATTTTAATAGGTCTCAGTACCTATTAAGGAATCCCATTTTCTACTTTTAAGCAAGCTCCTATTTATTCCTCAAAACCCAAAGTAACAGCTTCTCTGTAAAACAGTCCCATAAGAAAGGTTTAAGAGAAAGGCTAATGAGAGAGGAAGGAATTTCACCAATAGTGATAACAGATTTGATAGGTGATAATGGGTTTCCACTGTAATACAGGATTTCCTGCTTAACTTCTGTCTTTAACATACATTTGTGCTTTCTTCATGTAAAACATTTCAACCTTTTCTTGACAGACAAAAAACAAACTTCCAGATAATTACAAAGATATCTCCAACTATGAAGAAATTACTGTACTAGTTTTCTGTCCTCAAAGAGATCTTCTAAGAGAAGGATGGAAAGAAAAGATAACCTGAAGCACATGTTCGTTGAGAAAAAAAAAAGCAAAACCAAACAGATCATCAACCTTTTTTCCTCTAATGTTCACAAATAGCTTAAGTATCAGCTATTTCTCATGCAATACAGGTCTAAGGTAACTTTTAAGACAGAAATTTAAGGTTCTGCAGCCTCTGATTTGTAATAAAACTAGGGTCTATGTTATTATTAATAGCTATCAAGTTTCATTGTTTTGCTTTGCTTAACATTTTTCTTGTTTATTGTTTATCTTGAGCACTGAATGTTAAGTCCTAAATGAAATAAATTCTCCTGTTTTACTACTGTTTTGATTTCATGTCAAACATTACCAAAATCTGAAATTATACTTAGTAAGTACATTCACATTTCTAGTTCAAAATCTTCTCCATGCTCACAGTTGCAGACATTACTTTCCAAAGGACAACGTAATTATCATCTCCATGGATACTTATACTTCCTTGATTATAGGCAGCTTCGTAAATAGAAGTAAATAAACATCAGAGAGTGACTGGGCTCTCAAGATCAGCAGAAAGTAAAGACATCAGAAGTGTGGCTGGAGATGCTTCTGAAGAAGGGAAGCCCTCAAGATAAAGTCACAAAGGCCAGAACTGTGTACCTCACTAAGAGATGGACAGAAGCTTGAGATAACTGTATACTGTAATTAGTACCACACAGTCCATTAAGCCCAGTTATACACTGGACACCCAGACCAGAACACGTGGACTCATCCGTTCCCCAAAATGTTCCTAGTTTACAAGTCATAGAGAAGCACATGCCCTTGCTACATGCCTTGCTTCTGTATTAGATCAGTATTAGCTGAGCAGCTGTACTTGTAATCCTATAGGTTGGTGGTAGTTTGACCCACACTACCCACACTGTTACTTTGCTGTATAAATTACCCGACGAAGGGCCTTTGTAGCCACCCACACGGGACCTTCCTGACTCTCAGGAGCCATCCCTGGATATGCCTTTCTTACTCTCAACCTCTTCTGTCCACTGGAATTCATTCTCTGATTTCAGAGGACACGGACTCAGCGTAGCTGACATCCAGTAGATGGGAGTTTCATTTCTCGTATATGAAACTGATTTAAGTCATTACTAACGTGGCCTCAGAGTTACCCTCCAAAATTGAAAGACAGATGTGAAATTTTGTAAATTTTCAAAATCTGCTTAGGTGTAGCAAAAATACCATACAATGCATCAAACTTTCCCCGTGCTGTGAAAAGGCTACTGGAAGACCCATGTTGCTTGATTTCACCAGCGTGGTACCACTTTTCTAAAGCTATTTTAGGTATCCTCTTGGAAGATAAGCTACATAGTAAATCTAATTGCACTTACAGGGAACAAAGTATATGCAAACTCTGCTCTGTAATCTACTTAATAAAAGGCACAATATTTTCTTCAAAGTACTTATCAAAATTGTATCATATAGTTATTTATATTTTTAATGCCTGTCTCTTCTGTTATATATTCTAGCAGGCCATGTGGCTGTGTTACACGTGTAGGACCTACGCGGCATCTATAGCAGTGGTGGAGAATCTATGGAATTTAAACTGCAGTGGGCTGTTTATCATTGAAAGCTCTAAAAGGTTTGCTATCACTGGTCTAGAAAGTCAATAAATGTTCAGTAAACAGATGAATACATGAGTGAATGGCAGAAGAAATAGCTTAACTTACACATATTTATGTTTGTTTTAAAGTTGTGGAAAAAAATATGTATTTTAGGGAAACTTCAAGTATAGTATAAGCACAGATTTTCAAGTCAAATAGGATGGATGTAAAGCCATATCTGGTATTTAATAGTTCTATGACCAAAGACAAATGGGATGAACTTTCTAACCTTCTGTTTCCTCATCTGTAAAACAGGATTACACTGCAGTAAATAATAATAGTAAATACACACAAAAGTCTGCAGCATGGGGCCTGGGGATTTAGCTCAGCGGCAAAGCGCCTGCCTGGCAGGCGCAAGGTCGTGAGTTCGGTTCCTGGTACCGGAGAAAAACCAAAAAAACAAACCAACAAAAAAAAAAGTCTGCAGCATGGTCTACGGCAGGGAGCAAGGTATAAATAAGGTAGGTAATGTTACTTATTAACATTATATGTAGCTTTTAAGTGAACTTCATTAATGTGTTATCCAAGAGTTTTTAAAAATGAACAAAAATACTATTTCAAACACATGCAAGCAGTGATAGCTCATCAAAATTTACACCATTAAAATTAATTTTCCAACACATTGTGGCTATTTTCCCAATTATTATGAGCTTTTTCAAGTATTTAATTAAAATTGAGGATGCATTACTCTGTATACTATTTCCAAAATGCTCGCAATCATTCCAGAATCTATGTCAATAGATCTAAATAACAATTCTAATTCATGGTTAGTTCAATTCTCTGGCTTATATATCCGCTTTCAATCAACTTTCATTCAATAATTGCCATATGTTTAGCAACCTTCTGTCACAGTTGGAGAAAAGCAGCTACTCCTGACTTGTGTTCTGTCTTTTGATTTACACTTTCCCTGAGGCTCAACCCTCTGCATGAAGCATCAGATCTGATCTTAATTCTTAGTACTTATTCATAATTCACCCAATGGCTGTTTGCTAAGATCCATCTCTGTGTCAGGTATTATGTTAAGGCATATAGTTACAAAGATGAGCACATAAGGACCTGAAGTATCAAAAATGTCACAGTCTAGTTAGGAGTTTCAAACAGAAGGAGACACGTATGGAAAATGTAGTAAGTAAAATAAAT